CTTTGTCATACCACCATTCTTCGTTGACTCGTTATATTCTTTATCATCATTGGGTTGTGATGTGATATCAAACAAGTCCATTCCCAGTGGTTCTGTGTCTTCAATCATTTTAAAATGTAAATCTTAGCAGAAACGATGTATAAGCGACTTGTATTTTATTGTTTTATGAATATTATTCAAATTAGTTATTTGTGCTGGGTGTTATTATATATTTATAGTAAATGACATGCAATGTGTATTAACAACACAGATGCCAAATAACAGCGGTTTAGTATAATATAGTCACCAGTTCAAAGCATACGGAAATAAAAATGCATTTTACAAGTGATCACACCATATTGATGCTGTCAGAATGAAATGTGCGTTATGAGAGTTGTTATAGCAATAGGTGATCTACTAGTGTCTAAATATTATTCAAAGTGTTTGAAAGTTCTCTTGTTTTAAATGATATACAACACAGATGTCAATTTAAACTATACCGAATTATACCGCCACAAGTGCTTTATGAGTGTGTAAACTACGTTAAATGAAGCTAAATCACAGCTGTCGAGCTTTTACTCGGGGACACAGCATTTGCTGAATTGGTTAATATAAATAAAAAGTAAAATAGACAATATTCTATAAGTGTTACATTGTGTGTATATACTTTTATTTATAGGGGGATTATAGTGATGTTATTTATAGTAATTTTATTTTATTTATTTCTGTCTGTGTCTTTCGATCTATCTTGGTGGTCGGTCGTTACAGCCCTGGTATAAATTATGATAAACACTACTTCTCGAATATAATGTATACCAGTAATGTCTAAAACCAGAGCCAAAACGTCCAGCTACCAACAAAATGGGGTTGTTTAAAAAACCCGGAACGGGAAACAGAACGTGAAAATAAAAATATTTCAACATATGGGTTGTTTAATACAAGTGATATTGCATTAATGGACTTAGTTTGTATATTATTAATATTATTTATTTCATTATAATCGCAATTTTTAGTTGTGTGTACACTCATTCTAATAAAGTGGATGAAATAATGGGCAGAAAGCGCATGTTTACGATGTATCCGCTTGAGGGCGCACTTCATGTCTTGGGTCGATGTGTTACACTTAAGTCCTGTGACTTCCTTGTTGCTTCCAAATATTTTTAATTTCATGTTCCGGTTCCGTTTTTTTTTTGGACAACCACAAAATGGCGATGGCGTAATACTGTTCATTTTGATATCGGTCGTGTATTTTTAGTCACCATTAATGCCATTATTCTAACTTTTTCAGTTTTGAATTTCTGTAGCAGCATGTACTAGAAATCGAGTGAATAAAAATAATTTAAATTTTAATAGAAGACTTTGGATGAAATAACATTTTAATATCGAATTCTGTTTTCTTTTGTGGCAGTTATGCCAAATATATATGGCATTGGCACACGTCCCAGTAGTTGGAAAAAGCTGACGAAAATAGAAAAGGAAGGATGTAATTTTTGCTAGACATGAAAAATAATCTAGATGATCAATTGATGCTGTAATTTAAGAGTACAATGCTAGATTGTAAACTGTCACATCATGTTTATGCTCTGTCATGTAGTTCAGTTAAACTATTGCCACACATACTCTGCCGATATTTCATCATCATCATCACCAGTAGTATCTACTTATAAACCGAGTAAAGCCAATCAAGCCATGACAACGGTTCAATTTCTGTCGCTGCCAGTTGTTGTGGATTTTCATAACGTCATTAATGTATGCATATTATTTTGCAAAAATTAACCAATTCAGCAAATGCCGTGTTCCCGAGTAAAAGCTCGCCAGCTGTGATTTAGCTTCATTTAACGTAGTTTACACACTAATAAATCACTTGTCTTTCTGATTCGCTAGTAACACCAATGTGGCGTTATCTCTGGTAAATCTCTCTTCGGTATATTGAGCTATGTGGGTAGTCATACAAATTAAATAATTTGTTGTCATATTTAGCTTTAGATTTGAGTACCTTGAATGATTTCAGTAACTCGTGTTCTGATGATATACTTGACTAGTGGCCAACAATTGGAGTCTCCATTATAGAAAACAACATACATGTGTCCATTCAATGGAGGATCATCCCACTGAATACTGTAAGGACGTTTCAAATTATTAGGTAAGTGACTTAATTTGTGAGACTAAATTTTGATAAACAAGAAAATGCCGCCCTCTGTGGTCAGTTATTAGTAATGTATGAGCAATGCATGTCTGTTCACTCTGATAGTAACTTTATTTACGCCATATTACACTATATAACCTTATAATGTGTATATACTTTTCTGCAGCAATTAACTGGTACACACAATTACAGTAGCATAGACAGTGGTGAAAGTGGTGGTGGTTTACAACTCTTAATATTATCTAGTTAGATATTGAATACAGACATGTCTAAGCCGTATGTATTTGTAGAACCTGGCATTTCAAGTTCATCTAAGCAAACAGACATCCCACCTATCGATTGGAACTTGTGTATCCTTTGCCAACGCAAAACGAAAGAGGTGTTGCAATGCCCTGCACAATCTAAGAGAACAGATGTAGGTTCTGGTTATAAGAGTGTAGCTGAAAATATACTCAAATTTCACGAGATTGGTGAACTGTTTGTAACTGTGCCTGTTGAGCAGTTAAATGAAGGGTTGGGAGTTGAAACCAACATGCGGCAAAATAAGGCGGTATGGCATAAATCATGTAGGAACAAAATAAACACTATGAAATTAGAAAGAGCATTAAAACGAAAGCATGAGGCAAGTACTGCTAGTCCCATTAAAACCAGGAAATCACGCTTAGGACACACACAAGCAAAGCGTGGTGTAGATATTTGCATATTCTGTGACAAAGTTGCTGGGCCAAATGGTCTTCATAAGGCATCAACCTTAGGTATCGATTTCAAGGTGAGACAGTGTGCACAAGCTGTGAATGATACTTCATTGTTAGCGAAATTGGCTGGTGGAGACATGGTGGCCATTGATGCTCAATATCATACTATATGCTTGTCCAAATTATATAAACGTGCGCAAAAGGCTGAGAATGTGAATGAAGATGATACTGGTGACAGTTCATTACATGGAATAGCTTTTGCTGAGTTAGTTGAATATATTGAATCATTCAGTGATGCCAAAGAATGTGCTCCAGTGTTTAACATGGCATATCTCAGTAAATTATATTCATCAAGACTAGAAGAGCTTGGAGTTACGAATGGATGTGTACATACTACAAGACTCAAGAACAGAATACTGGCTGCTGTCCCAGAGCTAACAGCCCACAATCAAGGTCGTGATGTTCTGTTAGTGTTTGACCACGACATTGGAGATGCAATAAGAAAGGCTTGTCAGCACGATTATGACTCTGAGGCCCTTTATCTGGCAAAAGCAGCGAAAATAATTCGTAGAGAAATTTTCAAATTCAAACAGTCTTTCAGGGGTAGATTTCCTGAGAATTGTCAGCAGCAGTCAGTGCCCGCATCATTAATCGCTCTGGTTAATATGATCCTGGATGGTCCTAGTATCAAAGATCAATCTGTTAAGGACCAACCACACACATCAGCTTCTCTCATCATTTCTCAGTTGGTGGCATTCAACACTGTTAAGCATAGACGTAATGATGATCATCATACCAGAGACATAGCAGAGATAGGGAAACACCAGCACCAATCTATATAGCATTGAAGATTCATGCAGAAACGAGAAAAAGAGGTCTAATTGATACGCTGCATAATATGGGACTGTGTATTTCTTATGACCGTGTTCTCAGTATTTCCACAGATATAGCTAACACTGTATGTGCTAGCTATGAAGCAGAAGGCGTAGTATGTCCTTCTAAGCTGTCACAGAACTTATTCACAATAGCAGCTGTTGACAATTTGGATCATAATCCAAGTTCTACTACAGCTAAAGACTCATTCCATGGCACAAGCATTTCTTTGATGCAGAATTCAACATTAGAACATCGAGGTGTAGTCCGTGATATTCCAGTGATAGATGGAAGTGTGCAAGCAAAGAAGTCAATTGCTCCAATGCCAGCAACATATGCCCTTGTACCTCCAGCAGCTCTGTGGTTAAAAAAGCCTTTTGTACCGCCAACATCTGGAGCTGCTAGATCCGAGAAAACAATGGCATCAACTGCTTTAACCAAACAATATGAATGGCTAAAACATGCAGGTCAATTAATCCAGAAACAAGAGCTTGGTAAAGAAGACTGTCTATCTTGGGCAGCATATCATGCTGCCTGCCAGGAACCACGCACTGATCCTCCAACTACGATCACTCTACTCCCACTGTTTTTAGAGAATGCTCACTCTGTTGCTATGATAAAACATGCAATGAACGTTGCCAAAGATGATACAAATTACCTAAATCCTGGCCAGATTCCAGTCCTTGTTATGGATCAGCCACTTTTTGCGATAGCAAAACAAATTCAGTGGAACTTTCCGACAACACATGGCGAAGACAACTTTCTAATCATGTTTGGTGGATTGCATATTGAGATGTCAGCATTCAAGGTCTTAGGAAATTGGCTTGATGGTGGTGGATGGGCAAATGTCATTACTTCAGCAGGTATAGCTACAAGTGGAGTGGCCGATTCCTTTATAAGAGTTACACATCTCACAAGAACCAGACATGCCCATCAGGTAACAGCAGCTGCTCTTAGTTCTCTTCAGCAACAAGCATATAGCAAATACTCTGAATCCTGTCCAGATGGAGAAG